AGGATGACTCAAAATTGGTCTCCTATGTGTCGGGGGCGGGGTTGAAAAAAAGAGTTGAGCCAAGTAAGCTTCCTGGACGTTGCAGAGCATTTCAAGTTTTGAGGCGGACAATTTGAAAACTAACCACAAATGTGACGTTGAAATGCTTGCGCGGTTGCCGCTGTGCTTTTTCAACCAGAAAATGAGGCGCACGCAGGCAAGTTGCTCCCTTGCAGTCAAGGGATTGATGAGGAAAAATCCAAAATGAGAAAAATTGTAGTCCAAAAGACGCCTGTTTCGTTCAAAGTGAGCCAGATGGCCGATCCCATTACACAATTCGTATCGTACGGACTTCCTGGAGAGGCCGTATTGAATGGAATGTTAAAAATAAAATCAGTCTCAGTAGTGAAACAAGGTCTACACATCAGGTCATTCGATAGGCTAATTGGCTCCATCCTGTAGACGGTGCATTTGCTTGTAAAGCAGGAGTTTTTCGGCCGATATTTTCTCAGTTTTTTTTTGGGGCTGGTTGGGTAAAGCGCGGTCTGGAACGGCCAGAATTTTGCCCGCAGGATGAAAAGTGCCGCGCATTTGTGCCAGTTTGCTACGATTTGATTGAGGCTAATCGCGGTTTTAGGTTAATGTATTTTTTATTGGACTTGTATCTACAAATGTGCCCATGGCTGCCGGATAATAGTTATAGGTAAGTGTACTGAGCGTCTATCCTTCGATTGATTGCACTGAAAGGATGAACGATTGGAACGATTTCTGCTTGAATTTAAACGAAAAATTTTTCTAGATATTTGATTGGATCATATCTCTTGAAGAGTCACTTTTGCCCGGTGCAAACAGCTACACAAATTCGCGAATGCGCCTTTACTCCGATGGAAACTCACATTGAACTGATCTTAGTGAGATTAATCACTTGATAACCACTAGTTTTGTGTTTTTCCTGATTTAATCGAGTTTTCATCTCTGACGTAGGCCTGGGTAACACTGTGTTGAGTTGCGCTATTGAGTTGTTGCCGCTCACTGAGTTAACGAGTTATAACTCATCGGTTCATGAGTTATAAGGGATTTCTTCAAGTTTAGCCCGAGACTGGAATTTTTACATCTCAAAAAAATCTTCAACATTTTCACGTTTCTCACGTTTCTCTACTTTGTTCAAACAACTAAAAAAAGTCGTGTAGATTTTACCTGCAACAGAACTGAGAAAGTCGACGAGTTTTCTTGTAAAATCGATCTTTTAATTTTTTTGCATAAAAGATTTTACAGTGAAACGTTAGGAAAAACGCGGTTTTTCTGTTTAGGCAGGGTTGTTTAAAAATATTGATTGAAAATTAAAGGAACTCTAAAAATCGTCCGAGCGATGAGGGCGGCGAATTTTCCAAATAATTTTTTGAAAACTTTTACTCTGGTCGTTTTTTCAAGATAATTCTAATTACTTTCGGAACAATGCTTAATAAAATTATTTGGTTTTTTTGCCAAATTTGATGCTGAAATGGGTTTTCTAAAGTTCCCTGCAAACCGATGAATGAGGTGAACTTTCTAACAAAATTAATTTTGTCATTTTTGGCTGAAAAGACCCCCATGATTGTCAGGGAAGAAGAGGAGCATCAGAAAATAATGATTTTTTTGCGCCTTTGATTAAAAACTTTTAGTTTTGTGATCGGTTTCGAAGAAATCCTTAATGGTTTTCGGGTAAAAACGACGGAAAGAATTTTCGTTTTTGTCGCAAATTCGACGCTGAAAAAACTTTTTGTAAAATTTTCACAAAGCTATAAATTTATCTGGTAATTTTTCGCGTAACAGTCCTGCAGATGGTCAGCACTTTTAAGTGAAACTCTACAAAATAAACCGTTTTTGAGTAGAAGGTAAAGCAAAAAAAAACAGTTAAAACTAAAAAACCACATTTTTTAACAAACTACTATCCAGTCTTCAGAGGAATGGAGGTGACGAGATTTCCAAATAATCTGTTATAATCTTTCGCTTATTCTGTTCGTTTTTTTATAGAAAATTATTTGATTTTTGTTCCAAATTCTAAGCTGGAAAGGGAATTTTTCGCGGAAAATACCTTAAAAGGATTAATGGGCAGAAAATGGAGGATGGGGCTCCAGCTTGCAAAAAGCTGGTAAGAATGATCTTTAATCCATAAATCTTTCGCCATGAACGGTTTCAGAGAAGTTTACGCCAAAATTTAGTCCGAATGTCTGCAAAAGTCAATACAATTTAAGTCATCGGAAAACGGAAAAAATAACGCGCGATTAACGAAAACCCTTGAACATCGAATAGACTCAGTCTAACGTTTCCCGAATTGTTTTCGGGACAAAAAACACCGTTCTTGCATGTCCGGTGTAGATTCCGGCTTGGATAAAAGACATCTGCGGAAAATACCTTAAAAGTGTCAGCATTTTTAAGCGAAGCTTTAGAAAATTGAGCATTTAGAAGAAAGAGTAACTGGCCATAAACCGGAAAATTCTGAAATTTTGAAGAAATTTTAAAAATATTATTAATAAATGTCCATTAAAATAAATCTAGAACAACCAAAAAAAGTCATCAACATTTTCCCAGCAACGGAACTGAGTTACTGCGCCGGTGCGTTGGGTTGGCGCACCAAGCCATTTGCGCAGCACTGCGCCAACTCCTAAACATTCACTGAGTTACCCAGGCCTAGTAATAAGTGGCAACGTCTCAGGACGATTTAAGTTATGACTGTATTGTACTTTAACACTTTCGATTTGCGTATATAAAAGCGTAATTTCTAGAAATTTCTGACCAATTGCATGTCGTCATAAAGCAGAGTTCATTGGGAATTCGATTAATTGAAACATGCATGTCATGTTCGGAAAATTACAAATTTTCCTGATTTCATGTTTCCATTGAAATCGCGTTGCCGTCGGACATGCCAACTATTGGCAAAATATTTAATTAACTATAACGAGGAAATTACTATGTTTAATAAACATGTTTTTGTTGATTAATATGACGCAATCAGTGTGCAATGAGAGTGATCAGGTCGGGCTTGCTGAACAGAGTTCGGGCTTCTTTAAACGTCTGAGATTTCAGGACTGTTCAATTTTACTTACATCGTACGAAAGAAGCTTAAAATTGAATTATTTTTTTGCGGTGAAAAGATGTGTTTAATTAATTTTGCGAACTTATCAACTCCTGAAGATGGCACTTTCAACTTAGCTACGAAGCAATTTTTGACAGCAATTGGGGTTAGAGTTTAGACTGCGCTCTTCAAAACTTAAAACGCATTAAACCGGCGAGTTTGTTTTTGCGAAAATTAATCAACTTTTTGGCCTTGCAGTGATATTTTTTTGTTCTCGAACTCATTTTCAAAATCTAGGGCTTATGCTGTGGTCGGAACTTCACCGGAAACTTCAGAAAACCATAAATCAATATACCGGGTTGCATGAATGAATCAAATATTTGAAAGTAAACTTCACTTTTTCACAAAGTTTAAGCTTCAGCATGAGCTCTGGATCGTGAAAATCGGGCCAAAACCCCTGAGCAAAAAAAGCCCACTTCCTTTCGAAAAAAATCACTGCTCACGAACTGTAGCAGCTACAAAGTTGTAATTTTGCAAGTTTGCAGGAAAATCCCTAGTTGCGAAGCCTGCAAAAAATGGATTTATTCGAAGGTCTCGCTCAATTTTTGGATTATTTTCCAGTTTCGCTGTAATTCAGGAATAAACCCAGCTGTGCAAGTCTATGCTTAAAAATTCACTACTCATAAACTAGACACCCGTCGACTCGGTACTCGTTTTCAGCTAAAATCCTCGCAAAAAGCCAAATATGACATCGGAATTGGAGGTTGGATAAAAAAATTGTAAAAATCGCCAAACGTTCCGATTTTTACCAGCTTACTAATGGCGTTCTCCCGTAAAAATTCAAATTTTCCAAAATAAAGCAGTCAGCAACTCGAAATTTTCACCATATTTAAACTGCACTTTTCTCTAAATAGTGCTAAAAAAATCTTTTCCAATTCTGATTTTTGCCAGCTTAGAAAATCTCGACCACCAAATGAATGTCTCAACCCACCCTCACGCTCCTCTTTAAAAAGTCGCATCTTCCAAAACAACTGAGATAATAATTTCAGAAAACCATAAATCAATATACCGGGTTGCATGAATGAATCAAATATTTGAAAGTAAACCACTTTTTCACAAAGTTTAAGCTTCAACATGAGCTCTGGATCGTGAAAATCGGGGCAAAATCAGGAAAGTTATCGCTGCAATCCGTTTCGAGCTTTTACAGTTTTCCTCGACCTTTTGGTGTTGCGATCCAAAAAAACTTTTTTCTTCGACTAGGAGCAGGTCGAATTTTGGAAAATTTTGCAGTTTTTGATTTGCCGCCCAGTAGAAAGTTGATCTGAGGTCCAATTTTTATCAAAACATTGACTAACAGCACACAAATGGGGCTCAATGAGGCTTCAAACAGAAACCAATTTGCTCTAAGCACTGAGGATTTATCCAGTTCCAGTTAGGATTAATTTGGGTATGGAAGTTTCAGCGTGAAATATCTCGAAAACGGTTAGAGATATCGACGTCGAACAAGTACGCTTTTTTGTTTAAGAAATATGGAAGAATGAGATTTTCAATGGGTCCAGGACCTAAAAAACTCCCAAAGACATTTTTCGGTGGCAGTAAAACTGCCCCAAACCCATCATTCAATTTAGGCGTTCACACCGTGCACGAAGAAAACCAGTAACGTTCGGATAAGACAGATTTCCTTGAAAGGAAACGTTTTTGTTGGCACATTAGTTGAGGACCACCCTGTAGGGGAATTGGCCAATAAAACCGGATAAAAGGGCTCGGGAACAATAAGCATGTCATGCTGATAAGCATTAAACGGTGCAGGCTCGCGCACCACAGGGAAATGCATATTTCCGTCATTAAGAAAAAGCTCGTAATTTTCCCGGTATGTGATCTTGATCGTAAACGGCAATTAGCAAAACTATAGTGATTTGGACTAATTACCCGGAGCAGAAACCCGGGTGGGGGCAATACGTAAGACTATCAGAAGTACTATAATAACACCGCAAAGTATCTCCACTGCCAGTGAACGCTACAGCATCCACTGAAATTGGCTGAAAACCCAACGGGATTGATTATCAAAAGACGCGAAAGCCGATTTTTTCCCGCTAACCAGAACGGGCTTTTCCGCACGAACATTGAGGAGAAAGTTCAGTGATTTTTCAGTGTTCGTTCCAAATCCAACTGATCCAACCGTTCCAGTTGAGGCCGAAATTGGGTGTTTGGAGGTACCTGTTGATCGACGCTGTTTCCCACAACACTTTTCACTTCCGCACACAAAAAAACAAGTAAGTCGTCAGTTTTTTCGCTTATCGAAGCGCACCGATCATTTTCCCTTGGTGTGCTTTCAACGGGTAGGTCAGTGATCGCAGCCAGCAGCCGCGCCACATTCATTCATTTCAACAAGTGGAAAATGCGCAAATTACCAATAAAAGTTGGAAAGTTAAACAACACCAGTATTTATGACACCGCCAGGTTAGATAATCGCTTTGATTGGGAGCTGATGGTGGCCGCACAGATCTCCAGATCTGAGGCCAAGGGACTTTTTTTATAATATTCCTGCGAATGCTTTGTGAACCGTGGCCAGGTGTTTTCCCTTATCTATCCATCTAATTCAGATCGTTCCTTCGGGGCATAATTTGCATAGCAGGCAGGACCTGGCTTGACCCCACCCCGCAGTAGATGTTGCACAGGGACGTGCAAAATACAGCCAAAACTGCCGTGCAAACTGAATTAGAAAGGATCGAATTCGCACAAGTCCAATCGAAAATTGATCAGTGGCTGATGCAATCCATCAGCGAATTGCCACCTAGTTGCGTCATTGGCAGAATTTTCAAAATTTTTTGAAAATTATTTGATCCCGCAGCTCCACCGGTTATTAGGACGGTGTCGTCAGCGAATTGATGGCCAAGTGTAAAGTGTATCGGAAACTCTATACGACACTGGTTCAGTCATTACAGCCGCAATAAATTGATATATCTCTCTCTCGAATGGGTAGATGTGGGCGTGGGAACATCGGATACATAAAATTGCAGGAATTTCTTTGCAGAAAGCGCGAATCCGATTTTATCTTCCACGGTTCGTACGTGATTTTTGCCTTTCAGACTCGTCGGCATGCCATCAAACGAAATAAAGCGGCCGCTGCATGGTTTCGCAATCAAACAGCTCACTTTTCTCAAAAACTGTCCAGCAAAGTTACGTCAGTCTACCTGCAAACAAAGTTTTGAAAAATGCCTCAAAAACGGAGTAGGGAACTTTCAAAAAAGGCCAGAAAACGGTTAGAGCTGGGTTTTAGAGGTTTTTTTGCCATTGTTGCATCAGAATCGCAATTAACTTTTTGCTTTAAAAAAACCTATTTTTTGCTGTCTGATTTTTCCTAAATCCAGAAATAGTTTGCCATTTTATGTTTAATTAGGGGAGAGAAGAGCTCTAGAATTTTTTTCGGGCAAAGCCCCAAGTCGAACCCCTGAGCAACAAAAGCCCACTTCCTTTCGAAAAAAATCACCACTCACGAACTGTAGCAGCTACAAGGTTGTAATTTTGCAAGTTTGCAGGAAAATCCCTAGTTGCGAAGCCTGCAAAAAATGGATTTATTCGAAGGTCTCGCTCAATTTTTGGATTATTTTCCAGTTTCGCTRTAATTCAKKAATAAACCCAGCWGTGCAAGTCTRTGCTTAAAAATTCACTWCTCATAAACTAGACACCCGTCGACTCGGTACTCGTTTTCAGCTAAAATCCTCGCAAAAAGCCAAATATGACATCGGAATTGGAAAAAAATTGTAAAAATCGACAAACGTTCAGATTTTTACCAGCTTACTAATGGCGTTCTCCCGTAAAAATTCATATTTTCCAAAATAAAGCAGTCAGCATCCTGAAATTTTCACCATAATTAAACTGCACTTTTCTCTAAATAGTGCCAAAAAAATCCTTTCCCATTCTGATTTTTGCCAGCTTAGGAAATCTCGACCTCCAAATGAATGTCTCAACCCACCCTCGCGCTCCTATTTGAAAAGTCGCATCTTCCAAAACAAATTAGTTAATAATTTGAAATGTTCACCACGTTTAGAAGGCACTTGGCCCTAAAAATGCTCAAAGTTTCATAAAAATCGCGTCAAATTCTAATTTTTTTCAACTTAGTAAGAAGTGTCGATCTGAAAAAGGATGCATTTACGCACTTGCGCTTTCTCGCTTAAAAATCCGCACCTTTCAAACTAAACCCGCAAAAAATTTGCAATTTTCACCTTCTTTTAAAGGCCCTAAAGGCCCTAAAAACGGTGTCAAAAAAATTGCGTCAAATTCTGATTTTGGCCTGCTTAAGGATTATTGAGCTGAAAATGAGTGCTTTTACCCAACTGCACTCACCTCTCCAAAAAATCGGGTTTTCCAAAATAACGCAGCCAGTAACTTGAAATTTTCACCATATTTAGAAGACACCTTTCCCTAAAAATCCTGTAAGTTTCATAAAAATCTCGTCTATTTCCGATTTTTGCTGGCTTGGTAAATTCCAATTTCGAAATGAGGGGTTTATATCAGCGGCCCTCTCCGCTTTAAAAAATTGTCTTCTCAAAATTAAGCAGGTAGCAACTTGAAATTTTTGCCATCTTTAGAATACACTTGGCCCTAAAGTTGGTAAAAGTTTCATAAAAACCGCGTTAAATTCTATTTTTTTCTGGCTTGGTAAATGCCGATCTGAAAAAGAATGCAGTCACGCAATTGCGCTTTCTCACAAAAAAATTCGCAGCTGCCCAACTAAACCCGCAAAAAATGTGCAATTTTCACCTTCTTTAAAAGACACTTTGCCCTAAAAACGGTGTCAAAAAAACGCCGTTAAACTCTGATTTTTGCCTGCTTAGGGACTCTTGAGCTGAAAATGAGTGCTTTTACCCACCTGCACTCACCTCCCTAAAAATTCGGGTCTTCCAAAAGAACGCAGCCAGTAACTTGAAATTTTCACCATATTTAGAAGACACTTGGCCCTAAAAATCCTGTAAGTTTCATAAAAATCTCGTCTATTTCAGATTTTTGCTGGCTTGGTACATTCCAGTTTCGAAATGGGGGGTTTCAGTCAACGGCGCTCTCCACTTTAAAAAATTGTCTTCCCAAAATTAAGCAGATAGCAACTTGAAATTTTCACCACGTTTAGAAGACACTTGGCCCTAAAGTTGGTGAAAGTTTCATAAAAATCGCGTTAAATTCTATTTTTTTCTGGCTTGGTAAATGCCGATCTGAAAAAGGATGCAATCACGCAATTGCGCTTTCTCGCTTAAAAATTCGCATCTTCCCAACTAAACCAGCAAAAAATGTGCAATTTTTACCTTCCTTAAAGGACACTTGGCCCTAAAAACGATGTCAAAAAAACGCCGTTAAATTCTGATTTTTGCCTGCTTAGGGATTCTTGAGCTGAAAATTTCACCACGTTTAGAAGACACTTGACCAGAAAGATAAAATGCGATCTTGGCCAAAAAGATAAAAGTAAACATCGAACACTTGCAGGCAAAACCTCACGTCTTCTCAGCCCAGGTGGCAGAATCCCAGCCCAGTCAGCAACATGCTGATCAGCAATATGAGTGGATTCCGCAAACCAGGCCGTAGTTGCAACGGTTTTAAAATTTGCGGTTTTTCCACATAAACACTACTAACGATTCGCTCCATTCGCAGGAAAACTAGTGAATTTTAATAATCAAATTCAACTAACAATAATCTAACAATAATCTAGTGAATTTTCATACCAGGATTGCTTTACCCTGTCGAGAAAGAAAATTGTCTTGAAACAATGGATTTTTCCGAAAGGAAAAAACACCAAATTGAAATACTTCGTTTGGAACAAAGACACCAAATTGTGGATTCATTTCTAAAAAATGGTCGTTTTCAGTCCAGAAACTAGCCGGAAATTCTCGATGAATCAACATTTGATTGTTTTGCCATCCATGTGCGTTGGGGAATTGAGTCTATTGCGTAGAGGTTAATTCGCGAAAAACTCGCCTATTTATAAAATTTATAAAAGTGGAACTCACACGCCAATCCGTTTCGTAAAAGTCGAGTAAAAATAAACTCCTCTCCTCCTCTCAGCTGCTCGAATGGTCTTTGATGTCGGCGGCAGCCGCGACGCTTTTGATTTGGTTTTTTGGCAAAAATGACGCAAAACTATTCGACATTTCCAAACCGGATCCGACAGAGTCTAAAATAAGTGCGAAACTTCCCAGAAATGTGATTAATATATACCTTTGTTTAGGCGGAAGTGGGTTTAATTCGTTTCTTTCTCGAAAATATTAGCTTTTGAATGTGCACTTTACATTCTAATATAGAAAAAACGTATATTAAATTTACGTACAAAAACGAAATTTGTTATGAAAAATCACAGATCCTTGTTGGAAAACATTGTCAGCATTTTCTTGCGCTTAACTTTTAAAATGTGCTCCTCAAAACTTCAAATGGATAACAATGTGGAACATTTGATACTTCCGAGAAAAAGCCAGTGCACGCTAATGATTTTTCTGGCAATTAAAATATTTTTGAGTTCTACATACAGTTTTTTGTCGAAAATGCACAATTGCTAGGTAAAAAATTAATGGCGCGCCAATGGTTTTTTTACTAAAAATATATTTTCCAGGTCTGCATTCAGTTAGGAACAAAAAACGTTCTTTTGTCACCGTTTTTGACAAAAAAATACCAATCGTCGTGTTGTATTGTTGCAAAAAAACAGTGCACGCCACTGATTCAGCAGCTCTATTGAATTTTTACGGAACACTACCTACAGGGGCGGATCCAGCGTTAAATTCAGGGGGGGATTATGTAGAAGAAATACAGTCTTTTGTTATCTATGAAATTAGAAAAACTATCGTCGTTTCGTGCAAGGGCGGCGTAAGATTATTGCAAAATTTCATGTTTTTCGTCCCGTTTTGCATGTTTCTCGGAAGCAAAATGAGCAAGAACGCTCGTTTTTACATCATTCTGGAGAGAACTAAATGGCCTTTTTATTAAGTGAACCATCGATAAAGAAATGTTGGCAGTTTTCTCAAAAAATGCTTGAATTCAAGAAGTTTTAGATTTGCGTGGTGAAAGTGAAAAAAAAAAGTGAAAACCATTCGAGCCAGAGAATTCGTTTTGGCATCGTTGGATAGAGAATTGAATTCGCCCTTGACTACCTAAACTGCCTTTTATGCAGCAAAAGTGTTGATTTTTATGCAAAAAGTACATTCTGGTAAACAATAAAAACTGATGTTGCGAAGTGAGGTTATAGAGTGAAGTTGAGTAGATGGTGGTAAAACCACGGCAATCAGACTGCACA